GGCAACCTGCGTCCAACTGGTGCACCACCTGCAGCCCTCTGACCCTCTTTCTTCTCCCCTCCCCTACACACACTGGTGCACAGAAGTCCCACATTTCTGATGGTTTAGGCTTTGTGGCTTCAAACTGTTGCTATGGAAATGAGTTAAAATGTCTCAGAGAATTATGGCTGATTTGCGGTGATCCAGCTCTGGGAGGAAGGGGGAGCAGCAGTGAGGAAGCAAGAATCAGGCAATCTGTGGTGCTCCAAAAGTGCTGGGAGGGCTCTGTGCCCCAGTGTACAAGAGGAGTATGAGGAAAGGGAACAAATGTGGGCTGTGGCCCTGCAGGTGGAACCCCAGTGGGTCGCAGGCTGTTGTGGATCACTGAGATGAAGGAGGGCCACTTACGCAACCCACTCGCTGTTCTTGGTTTCCCATCTCTGGCTTAACCCAAATGATAAAGTAATGCCAGATCTGCTGCTTTACAGAGATTTCTGTCATCAGATTGGTCCTTTCCGGCAAAATAAACCACACAGGGTGGATTGCACTCTGAAGATTTGAATTTGCAAAATACTTTTCTTCTGATCCTCCCTTCCCCTTCTGAAATTCAGGTGGTTAGAGAAGAGTTTCCAACCCTATCTCTAGTTGTGTCTGCATAAGTTTCTATGGTTGACAAGGCTTTGTGTAGTCAGAGAAGGCGGCATAGAAATGGGAGAGCTAAAGGATTGCTTCCAGGATGAGCTCAAACCTCTTCTTTTTGCTTTATCACAGTGTTATGTTTTAAAAGGAATCATACAGTTGAAAGGTCAGGTCAGTCTGCAGCTGTGTATGAAAGGCTTTTCAAGCACAGCATGAAAATGTTTCAGTAGTGAGTGGCTGGGTGGAGATGGCCTCTGCTTTGTCCTTCTGCAGCTATTGTTCGGCACCTTGTCTGAATAGGTTTGGAAGCCTCCTCCATGAAAAGCCACTCCTTTCTCCTCCACTGTACTTATACCTCCCACACTTTCATGTTTTGTACTGCAGAGAGCTGTTGCTTCCCAGCCAGGGTCAACACAAGGTCATGACTTCTGATCTGAGGTTAATGTAGTTGTAATGAACAACATGTCTCTTTGCAGTTATGTGAATATTCCACCAGCCGTCTTTCTCCCTCTTCCTCCGCCCTGTCATTTTTCTGTCTCAAGCGGGGAACCTGAATTAAATGTATTCATTGTAAGGGATTTAAGGCTATTTTTCAGCGCTCTTAGGTAGCAGACAGTACAGTCATGTGCTCCTAAATATTGGCAAATGTTTAACATAAAATAGTGATTTAACACTTTGTCCCTATGTAGCCTCCGCAGTGTTTCCCCCCAGGAATTGAATTTAGAGGGAGTGTTCAAATATATGGGGTGGGGTTGGAAAATAACTAAAATGACAACAGTTCTGACCACTGGGGTAGAGATAGGGGAATTAGAGAGGGAAATCCCCTATCATTACATGCTCACGTTAAAATGGCAGCCGGCAGGTGAACATTATTATCCTCATTTTATAGGTAGGGAAATTGAAGTGCGAAGACCTCCAAGACAAATATTAAACATATTATATCTGAGAAGAGTGCCAAAATATGATGTGTACTGTTCATCTTATAGTTGTGGACAGCAACAGAAGAGTACCAGCGAAATTTAATTCTCTAGCATTTTTCCTCTTGCAAAGATTTTTTTTAAAGGTGAAAAACTTGTGCTCTAGTTATTATTATATATTTGTGTTATACTTTACCAAAAGCAACATTTTAACCAAAACCTCATTTTTTAAACAAAACCAATTTTTCAAAAACTAAAACTTTGTTTAATTTTTCAACCAAAACCTCTAGTTTTATAGGAATTGGAGGAAAGGAAGAAATGTCTTGTGAAAAGTGACAGCTAGAATGAAAGAAAAATGCCTATAAACACTATAAAAGATGCTGTAGGGAATAGCCTTGCATAGGCTGGTTAACCCAATGATCTTTTACAGCTCTAATTTCTGTAATTCCAAGGAAGGAACTTTACAAAATCCTTCTGTAGCTGTCCGTCTTTAGTGTCTGTGAGAGCACATATTAACATCATAATAGAATAAAAGGCCTGTGTGGATATCTGTATCAAAGTGCAAAGAAAACAGTGGTTAGAAGGTTCAGGGTAGAGAAATCTTGGAAACTGTCTGCTTGGCTAATGATAGAGCTTTGTCTGTCTCTCTGAATCCTGAAAGAAGTCCCAGAAAGGGTGTTTATGCTGAAGCCTCTTAATCTGATGGGATTCATTTGATCCCTACTGGAATTGAACACTGGGTTTATGTAGTACAATTAAGGATTGATAAAAGCCTCAGGTTTTAGAAAACAAACCAAATTAGTTGGATTAGAACAACCACCACTCCGGAAAACAGCAAATCTTATGTTGTGGAGTTATCTCTGGTCAGAAGTCTGTGACACTATGATCCATTTTTCCCCTTAGATTCCATTTTACACAAGCACACTTTGGTGAAAGGGGACAGAGGCTAAGGAAGATTAGACTGGATAGCTACATCGATAAATCAGTACAGCAAAACTAATAAAACCACGCAAAGCAAAGCAAACTAATTTTTCTTTAGGACTGAGCTGGGAAAATGTAAGCACCTGTTAGTCCAATAAGCCTTTCTTGACTGCAGTAATTATATAGCACAGATGGAAGCTGATTCAATATTGTAGAAAATCTGTGACTAGCTAGGGCCTGTCTACACTAGGAAATAATTTCAAAATAATTTATTTTGAAATAATAATTCCCAAAATAACTATTTCAAAATGGTGTGTCCACACTACAGGGAATCCTTGAAATTAGTCCGAGGCAGGCTCCCTAATGTAGACACTCTATCTCGACTTAGAGCCCCAGAAAACACTGGGAAGTAATTACTTTGAATGACTCTGGGAAGTAGTTATTTCGAAATAGAAGCAATGGAACATTCACACTATTTTAAAATAACTATTTTGAAATAAGTGCTATTCCTTGTGGAAACCAGCCTCTTATTTCGAAATAACAGGCTTGGTAGTGTTGATGCTCCTCTTGTTGTTTTGAAATAAGGGGAGTTATTTTAGACCAGGGCCTAGTGCTTCACCAGTGTGATGACCACCATGGCGTCTCAGAATTTCATAGTGATACCAGGGAAAGAACTGAGAGTTCTTATTTCTACAAAAGCACTATGACATGAGCCAAAGGAAGAAATGTTTTAGCAGTTAGCAGGATGTGGCCCATAAGGGTGCATCTACACAGTTGGGCTTAACTAAAAATAAGATTCGCAAATTGAGTTACATCAATTGTGTAGCTTATTTAAAAATAGCTTATTTTGATATTGGGAGCATCTACACAGAACTTATTTTGAAATAGAGCACTCTTCCTCCGACTTCCCTTACTCCTTGTACGATGAGGGTTACAGGAGTCGGAGTAAGAAGTCCCTCAGCTTGACAGTATTTCAACATTATTTCAAAATAACTGCAAGCTGTGTAGACACGGACTAAATTATTTCAAAATAATGTTGCTGTGTAGACGTACCCTAACATGGGTGCAGGTTAGAATTTTAGCTATAAAACATATTATAACTGAGCATTCTGGAGCCAATGCTTGCCAATTAGGAAGAGACCCCTATTGGGCCAAATTCATATCAAGTGTAACTATTATTTTGGCCCATAAGAGGGCTAATCACCAAAATTGTTAACCCTTTAATTGCTGTATTCATTCCCTTTGTAGAGCACACACCTAATAGTTTCCTTTGACATGGCCAGTGTAGGACACTACCAAGCTGGATTTATAGAGGTCCAAGCTGCCAACAACAGAAAAACAAATCAGACTATGTTGTTTTCTGTCCAATTTGACTGCTCCCAGTTCCTGGGTAAGCTGCTGAGACTACTGAAGCATCCCCAAATGCATGGGTTTGGTTTGCTTGTGTTTCAGGTTTCCAAAGGAATGTTTGAGGACAGCAGACAAACTAGATGAATTAATTTACTCCCCTCCTATTCTCTGTACCAATCCAAAGTGACATTTTGGGATCTGTTTTCTGTGATGCCTGCTGAGCAATAGCTTTAATATACGAGAGGGGCCTGATGTTTTATGGACACCAGAGGCAGCCAGAGTTTGCTCCAGAAGATCATTGCTAAACCAGTTTTAAGAGCACCAGTGTCATGTTATGTTGAATTTTATGACCCTCAACAGCTGCTCAGCTATGGAGCAGTTCATTAAACATGTGTGCCAGGACCCAATGTAGGCATCTGGTTCCTAAGTGCTTCAGACATGCAGGCAAGTGATAGACAACAGAGCAATTAGCTGTCCAAAGGATCTGGAATGTTCTTTCTTTAAAAATGTGTGGTATGGTGTTCTTGAAAGTGAGTGCTTAGAGCCAGACAGAATGTAAACAGATGCCAGGATCATTTCCAGCCTCATTCCTTAGCTCTGCCAATGAACCCCAGTATTGGCCTGCAGCTCCTCCTTTCATCCTACTCTTTCAGTCAGGAGCAGATTAAAACTAAACAGGGCCCTGGATCCACGAGCACCATACCACCTCTCATCCTGGATTCTTCCTTTGTCTTCCTTCTGCAAGACAAATTCCTCTTCCCAATCCATTAGTGATCTTCCTGAAAACACCATCGTGGCCACTTTGAATGTAGAAGCTCTCTATACTAACATTCCACATAAAGATTGATGACTACAAGTTGTCAGAATCTATATCCCTGATGATGTCATGGCACAGCTGGTTGCTGACCTTTGTGACTTTATTCTCACCATAAGAATTTCAGATTTGGGGATGATTTATATACCTTTAAGTCAGTGGCACTGCTCTGGGTACCCATATGGCCCCACAGTGAGCCAACATTTTTATGGCTGACTTAGAACAACACTTCCTCAGCTCTCATCTGCAAGTGCCCCTCTCCTCCTAGCACTACACTGATGACATCTTCATCATCTGGACCAATGGTAAGGAGATATATGCCATCATGTGCCAGCAATGCCCATCTGCCATGTACATTGGACAAACCAGACTACCTCAATAAAAAATGGATACAAATCAGACATCAAGAATGGTAACATTCAAAAACCAGTAGGGAAGCACTTTAACCTCTCTTGCCACACAGTTACTGACTTGAAAGTTGCCATTCCTAGATGAAAAAACTTAAAAAAACAGACTGCAACGCTGAGCTGGAATTCATATGTAAATTTGATTCCCTCAGAAGCTGTCTGAATAGACTCATGGAATGGCTCTCTCAGTTACAATAAGTAATTTCCTCTTCAGGTATTCTCACCTTCTCATCACTGTTGGAGGTGAGCAATATCTACCCTGATTTAATTAGCACTGATGTTTCACTCCAATCTCTGTATTCCTGCCTTTCTTTCACTTCAAGCATCTGAGGAAGTGAGCTGTATTTCAGTAAAGCTTATGTCCTAATAAATTTGTTAGTCTATAAAGTTCCCCTGTACTCCTTGTTGTTCTTCCCAGTATATCTGTAAAAACTATTTTTAACACTGACCCAGGCCACATTCGTCCTCACCGCTTCCACAAATGGTCTCTTGATCATTCCTATGTACAAGTGCTTGATTGTCCTGCTAAGTGAGGTAACCCACCCTCCCCTCCTAACCCATCCTTCCCTCACCCGCAGCTTCATCCTTCAGCTATAAACTATAGCACAGCCTCTCACTACTATAGCCAAGACCCTTCTGGCAGCAGGACCAGGATCCCAGAGGGTCCACCGCAATCCCAGTCTTGGGTTGCGTCTCTATACAGCTCTGCCAATATACCTCTTTCCTGACCTACATTCCTGATCCTACTCTTCAAGTTCAGGAAGCCTAGAGTATACAGTTGTTAGGAACCATCTTGAACTTTCTGAAGGAAGTAGAGTGTGAGCAGGGTGTAACAAAATAGGTCTTTTCCAGCTGTAATTTCTATGATGCCATGAAACTGATTTCATCGATAACTTATACCAGGATTTGGATCAAGGCCTACTAAAGTGAAAAGCATGAGCACTAGATTTAACATCACTTTCAGCGCCTAGTATTAACATTAACTTCATTATTAACAGTATAAATATGTAGATCACTTCACTAGACCTCTGTGAAATGCTTCTTTAAAACATTTTAATTTGTACATTATAATGAAGAGATATATTGTCATCAGATCTCTTGCTGAAAAGGTGATCTCTTTGCCATAATTAATGCCTGAAAAAATAAAAGAAATACAAAAATGTTACTGATGGAATGAATTTCCAAGATAAATAAATATTTTTATATGGGCAAAAGGAAGACTCAGATATGTGCTATTGGAATGTGCATTACAAGTAGGACAGGAGTTTAATTCTTGAGAATTCCAGCAGAGGCCGCCATTACTTTGAATTTCTACTGAGCTGATGTGGCTCAAGAGGGTAAGCAAACTTTCTGGTAGGGTTGCCAGGTGTCCGGTTTTGAACCGGACAGTCCAGCTTTTGAGCTTTCTGTTCAGGAAACAAATTGAGAAAATATAAATGAGAAAATATAAATGTCTGGTATTTTCTAAATAAGATGTAATGTAGATTGTGATGTAATGTCAATGTGTCTGGAATTTTTGTTGAAACCATCTGGCAATCCTACTTTCTGGGTACATCTAGACTGCAAGTTTCTTTTGAAAGATTGCGTCCAGACTACAAAAGCGGATCAAAAAAGTAATCTGCTTTTTCGAAAGAGAGAATCCAGACTACTAGGAAGCTCTGTCGCAAAAAGGCAATCTGGAACCACTTCTAGTAGGGCATATGGGCAGCAGTTACTTCCGGGTGCTGCTGCCTGAGTCTAGCTGAGAGACACGCTTAAAGGGACCCCCCTGGACAGCTGTTTCTCTGCTACAGCTGCTTGCTTGCCTAACTCTTCAAGTTGCAGCATGTGCTCTGGTTGCCTAGCTTTCTTGGATGCCACAGCATTTTTTTTCTTTTTGGACTCGGAGCTGCCCATGGGCATGTGATGGCCCCACACTGCCATGCTGCAGCTTCTGGACTGTCTGGACAGCCCTGGCCCAGCTCAACTCAGAGCCCGGCCTTCAGACCTTCACCCTGGAAATAGGAGTACTGGCCTTGCCCCCGAACTTCATGTTGGAGAGGCGAATTTGGAGGCTGGACACCAGTTCTGACTGGTGGGACTGCCTGGGCCTGGAGTGGTGGGACGACCAGCAGTGGCTCGACGACCAGCAGTGGCTCAGCAACTTCTGCTTGCGAAATGTCACCTTCATGGAGCTGTGTGCCTGGCTCATCCCTGCCCTCCGACAGGTCACCCACTGGTGGCCCACCATCCTCCCTGGAGAAGAGAGTTGTTATTGTTGTGTAGAAGCTCACCACCCCCGACAGCTACTGCTCAGTGGGCAACCAGTTCGGCATGGGGAAGTCTACCATCGGGGCCCTCCTCATCGAGGTAAAGCACTCTGGGGCTGCACTCCCTGCACAGGTGTGGGGCGGGGAGTCATGGAAAAGGGAGACCCTAGGGAAATGGGGG